CAGGAGAGAACTAAATCAAAAATAACATGCAATTTTCATGATCCCTCTTATATCGTTTCAATTATTAACATTTTGCACATTCTGCAAAGGGTATGTAAACTTATGAGCAGAACTGTATATATAGAGAGAGAGAGTGCCATCTGAAATTTTCTTCTAAAATGAGCATTTTTATCAGGCTCCTATGTTTTAGTTCAGTAATTTTACTCTAATAGCAAAGTACAGGCCCTTTTCTACGCAATTAAAGTGAAATAACTGAACATAAATATAGGAGCCTGGTAAAAATGCCAACAATAATGCTATTATTGCTAACACCATTGATATTTTTGCTTCATCCATTAAAACAAAACAAGTCAATAAGTTCACTTGTAAACATGTAGCTCATTATTAACCCCCATTAGAAGAAAACAAACAGCGGGTCAGTTTTTAGATCAGCTGGTGAGAGTAATTTCACCGTCCCCTCTGGCTCTGACCAAACAAGCATCTTCTCAGCCGCTCCAGACTCTGTTTGTTACACTGCAGTTATTCTGGCAGTCAAAGCTGGCAAGCTCTGTCAACTGATGAGAAACACTGAGAAGGCTTCAGGCTGGACCTTTGGACCTTTTGAGATTTCCATCAGATCTGTGACTGGCGTTTGGTGCCATCAGGGTTGATTCTCAGGATGAACCTGCAAGCACAATAAAAAAAGACATTATTTTTCAGACCAGTTGGGGTGAAATTCGAGGGAGGATGGCGTTTCAGTTCCAGCTGCTTAGGGTTTTTTGGAAATTAAACTGATCTCTATATTTTATCCATTTAATAGTCTTCGAAAGCGATCCCAGCTCTGCATAAAAACGTAGTGTGATATTTGTGTTTGTGTTTGCTGCGCAATGCCGTCTTTTGTGATTGGCCATAATCTCTGCAGACTGCAGCCAATAGAAATGCTTCTCTATCAGTGTGTGTGCTCTTCCTCACAGAACAGATCGTGAAAACAGACTCAAGTTTTTGTTCACAGATCACAGATTAACCACTGTGCATCTCCAAGAAAACACAGCGCTGTTTCGTTGATGAATGAATCTGCGTTTTTGAACAAATCTAGTGAGTCAAAGATTCAATGACCCATTCATAAAGAGAGACACTTGCTTCGTTCCTAAATGAATCAGCCATTTGAACAAATCGATTGAATGAATGAATGATTCAGTGACAAAGACAGTGACTTGTTGCTGGCGGTTTCAGTTTCATTTTTAAAGTATAAATGGAGTTATTTAAATTGTTTAATATATTCAAAACTTTATATTTCAAACATTCATCTCATAACATTGTTATTATGAATTTAAATGCATTCATGCCACCTCCGAGCCTCGTTAAACAGTCTGTAAATATTCCTTAATGTCACATTTGTGTTGTTCTGTGCAAAGATGAACTGTTGATGCTGATTTCATTTGTCTGGGAACTTATTCTTCCTGATTGTACCGAATTATTTCAATTGACTTTACTTTAACATTATTGATAGAAGTTTATGAATATAATTTTAACACAAAAGATGACATAATAAAAGCCCCTGCAAATCACTTTAACCCTCAAGCATCCTTCAGGATGGGCAAAATCTTTTTTTTATAGTTTCCTTAATCTGAGCAGTACAAGTCCTGGCTACTTTTCTTAAGTTTGCCACCAGAATAGACTCAAGAAAAAACATTTAAAAAAGAACTCAATTTAACAAAGTTAAGTGGTTGGGGGGGAAAAACTCCTAAATTTGTCCTTCGTGGACAAAAGTGGGCACCCATAGGAAATGAATGGGAAATACTTTAATTCAATAATAATTTTTTTTTGTCCAATAAAAATCAATAATTGATATTTTGATAGTTTTTATACCACCATATGTCAGCAGATGTCACCAAATTTGATTATTATTTTTTATTATTATTTTATTTTTCTGAAGTAAAATAAATATTAAATATAACAAAAATAAGAATATTTTACATAAATATGTTACGTTTAAAGGTAAAAACACCACAAATTTTTTTTTTGCATAAATAGATAAGATTTTATTTGATCAAAGACAGTCGTATGACATTTATAAGAAAAAAAAGGGATCACACCTGAGAGCTTAAGGGCTGCTACACGAAGAATGCTCGAGGGTTAAGAGTCAAATATTGTCTCATAATGAGAAGGTTGATTTCTGTCATTGATCAGAAGGTGTTCCTCATTTTTTAGAAGCACGAGAGCTCCTAAAAACACATGCAAGTGTCAAGTCCTGAAGAATGTAATGCTACCTTTTAAAAACTAATCGCATGTGTTTATGAAAAGTATAAACTATTAAATATAAATCTACAAATCATGCAATTCTTTACCACTAAATAAGAAATGTGTTTATGGCTTAGCTAATCGGGCCAATTAGAGACAATAACTTATCATTCACGGTTTTTATTAAATCATACTTTCCCTTCACTAATCAATATTTTTGTTTGTTTATTTATTTGTTTTTATTAAACACAAGGGGTCATTACGTTACCGTGTGCAGATTCACACACAATGTATATTTAATCTGGCCAGAATTGCAGGGTGCCTGTCTTAAGTAATAAATTCAATGTTATTATAGATTATTTCCAAGCTAGAGTCCCCCCAGTGAATTCTGGCCATTTCCACCAGTGTATATACATATTACAAATGCATTATCAGATATGAGATGAACTATGGGGCAAGTTAGATTTTTTTACTGAGCACCATTACACCTCTAATATTTGTCTTAAAATCAATCGCATTCAAATAATTAAAGTTCCATTCTTTACAATGCATTCCTGTAGCTCAAGATGCTAGAATGCGGAGATAATGGGTTTGATTCACTGGGAGTAACACAAGGACAGCTAACGCTGAAGAAGAGTCTGTCAGCTGTTGTGGCTCGATGCTGATTCTGCCCTTCATAGTCAGCTTCCATGATTTTGCTGAGAGAACAGACTCTCCTGTAACACAGCATCGCAGCAGGCTATAGGAAAAACGACCAGACACAACAGTACATATATTTGATAACTTTGCTGTATTAATAATGGCATATTGCTAACCCGTTCTGTGTGTTAGTGCAGAGCAGCAGTGGTGTACAGTCAGGGAACGCCAGCTGCAAATATCATAATAAAGACACTAAGACACTGATGGATGATCGTTTAAAAGCACTTTAACTCTTTACTCTGCTGCCTGGTAAACCTCTGCTCTCTCTCCTTCCGCTGGTTTAATCTCCAGTCACATTATATCATTTGTGCCTTCTTAAAGGTGCAATAGGTGATTGTCTCCAGAAACATTTTTTCTTATGCTGGTTGAAAGTCTCTTCACATCCCGATAGCAGTCGTTAAGTTAAGTGGTCTAAGTGTATTTATATATATTTATATATTCTGTGGAAGGCGTAGGACCAAGAAATGTTCGTCCAATCAAAACGCTCGGTCCGAGCGTTTTAATCAGCTTTCCTACCTGCCTGTCAACATGTATTTGCATACTTCTGCGCACCCTGTTTGCGCAGACAGAATACGTCATCAGCGCGTTTCACGTACGCTATGCCGTTAGAGCGAGAATGACAGACAAACATAAAAAACCGGACCTTCCTTCACAACAACCGAGTACAAGTGCCCTTGTACAGGTATCCACCAAAAGAAAAACAGTCTTTGAAAAGGCTACAGTGAAAAAAGGCTGGATGAAAACAGAGCAAAAACCCGAGTTAATATCGGTGTTGCTTTTCCACGCTGGAGACAACTACGGGAGTCAAAGGGTCTGAATGATGACGCCATGGTTGCAGTATTTCTTTTGGACAGGTAAGTTAGGTATATGGTGTGATTCGATTTGGGTGTGTTTTGATATAACGCATAGCTTAGTTTATGTACCTTGACGACTTAGCTCAACTACAGCAGCATCGTGTAATCAGGTAACTATGCTTATGTTTACAAAGTTATGAGAGAACGACAACATCAACACCGCTGGTGCATGGACACGTGAAGCCACCACCACCAGATGTGTCGACAGTTGCTTCTGAGACTTCCTACCAACTGTGAGTAAAACGTCATGTTTCACACTTAAATGGAAATACCCTCAACGTCGCTTTGAAAAGTCCAACATATCCATTTGTGTTCAGCAAAAGGCAGAACAAGCCCATTATTTTTCTTTTATGTTTTCTGTGCCTGATGACTCAGTTTACAAACGTATTACTGTACATGTTCACTTTCACAAATCTGAGATGTGAGGTGCTTGAATATATTCATATATATGTCTTGTTCTAACAGTGAGGCTGATTTCAATATAGCTGGAGTCCAGCAGTTGGAAAGCACTGACTCTGAAGAGGCCGGCAGTCAAGATATAGCAAAAAGGTACGGAATTGTGTTTACCAATTGTAAGCAATGCACGTGCCAAGCGCAGTGTATAAATAGTTATATTGTTTGGGGCCCATCCTGACAGAAAGTCTTTTAATGTTTTCGTACTTACCAAATGAGCAAGACAATAATTTAATTAGCATTTTTTACTGGGTGTACCAAACACATCCTAGCTTTATACTGTTATCAAATTTGCATGATCGACCTATGCCAAAATTACAAACAAAACTATGCACGTACAGTAGTCAAGATTTGAAGTGGATCAAAAAAGTTAATATAAGTTGGCCTAAGATAAGAACACTTTGGTTTTACGTCAACTTTGAATAAAGGTTTTCGTCCACTTCAAATGTAGAGTACATCGATCAGAGGTTATTACATCTGTCAGTGGGGATCTAAGGTTGTAATTGAATTATTAATTATTATTATTATTAAAATGATTATTTTATATATGTGTAGTTTTTCAAACCGTATTTCTTTTCACTCCGTGTAGTGAATATGACCTTGAAAAAGATGTTGCGGATGAGTTCAATGACATTCAGAATACTACGTAAGTGGCTGTACTGACCTAACTGACGATAATTATCATGTATGAACACATATATTGTCTGAGTGGTGGTTTTACATTTAGTTTGTATTTATTCTGTATTAAATAGTATTGACTGGGAAGGTGAAACATGGCGTCCGGATTTTGAGACCGAGTCGGTGTCATCTTTAGAAGAATATGACACCAAAGAAGTAGACTCAGACTCTGATGACAGTGATGAAGACTACAGTCCACGTATCTGTGTTCAGTAAGTTTAAAGACTAAATGGTTGGTAGACATAAAGGTACTGCTAATTCTGTATTTTTTACATAACACTAATTATTAATGGTCAAGGGGTGCTTCAAAGACGGCCGTTAACTTAGAAGATATTTCGGCAATCAGCATGGAGGACACGGTGCACGATGTCTTACGTTCCCACAATCCATCGAGCACTGAGATGCCTCCAACCAAACACTCTCTTAAGGTCCAGGTTGTGGAGGATGCAACTGGTCATTCAGCATCCATAGTGTACCATGATTGTCTGAAGCAGTTGGCCAATTACCTTGTTTTACCAGTCACAAAGTGTAATGCTCACGATATTAACACCAAGTTACAGTGTGGGGCTTGTCAACCTTCTGAAATTAGTGTGACATCCAGGGGCACAGCTGCTATTATTGAATGGGTAAGTATATATTATTCAAAAACCTTTTGTTACATGTCTTGTAGGGGTTGTAGAGAGTTTGTCATATATGTTATGTAATGTATTGTTGACCCTGTTTTTCTAATCTTTTGTTTACTTCAGATATGTTCTTCAGACCATACTGTTTGGAAATGGTCTTCACAGCCAACTTTCACTCATGGCATGCTAATTGGGGACTTCATGTTGGCCACCAACATACTACTGTCAGGCAACAACTATGCCAAAATAGCACTTCTCTTCAAGTTCATGAGAATGGGCATGGCAGAAAGGACTTCTTTCTTCAAGATACAGGACACCTAATGTGTATACTCCATCAAAGATTTCTGGCTTTCAAAGAGAGCTGAAATCATCCACCAGTTACAGTCGAAAGGACCAATTGTAGTATTGGGTTAGTTGGAGACACACACAAACACACACACAAACACACACACACAAACACACACATACATAAGAGAGTAATACTAGAAAATAATTGGAAGTGTTATCACTGATAAAACTTTTGTGATACATTGTCAGTCGGTAGTGATGCCGCTTTTTTTCCTTAGAATATATAGGTGAGACATGTCATGCTTTTACCTAATTATTGTGATCTACATTTGTAGGAGATGCTAGGATGGACAGTCCAGGGTTCTGTGCACAGTACTGCACATACACGGCCATGGACAATGAGTCCAAAAAAATGATCAGCATGGTCAACATAGACAAGCGAGAAACACAAGAGGAATTGGGTTGTAATGGAGAAAGAGGCCTTCATTCGTACCTTTGAGACACTCTGTGAGGAGCTCAAGGTTACGGAGTTTTGCACCGATGCCCATGTTCAAATATCTGCCCTCTTCAGTGAGTATTGTATTTTGCTTTGTTTGTGGTTGATACACTAACCCAAAAACAAGCATGGAGTAACATCTGAAAATGTGTCACGTAAAATGTATACATTCTATTTTTTCAATTTATCCAGCAGACAAGGGGAAATACAAAGACATCTGGCATGGAGCTAAAAGCTTGAGTAAAAAAATCCTATATGTACGTTTTATAATAAAACATATGTTTCATAACCTAAATAAAAAACACTTTGGTTTTACGTCAACTTTGAATAACGGTTTTCATCCACTTCAAATGTAGAGCACATCGATCAGAGGTTATTACATCTGTCAGTGGGGATCTAAGGTTGTAATTGAATTATTAATTATTATTATTATTAAAATGATTATTTTATATATGTGTAGTTTTTCAAACCGTATTTCTTTTCACTCCGTGTAGTGAATATGACCTTGAAAAAGATGTTGCGGATGAGTTCAATGACATTCAGAATACTACGTAAGTGGCTGTACTGACCTAACTGACGATAATTATCATGTATGAACACATATATTGTCTGAGTGGTGGTTTTACATTTAGTTTGTATTTATTCTGTATTAAATAGTATTGACTGGGAAGGTGAAACATGGCGTCCGGATTTTGAGACCGAGTCGGTGTCATCTTTAGAAGAATATGACACCAAAGAAGTAGACTCAGACTCTGATGACAGTGATGAAGACTACAGTCCACGTATCTGTGTTCAGTAAGTTTAAAGACTAAATGGTTGGTAGACATAAAGGTACTGCTAATTCTGTATTTTTTACATAACACTAATTATTAATGGTCAAGGGGTGCTTCAAAGACGGCCGTTAACTTAGAAGATATTTCGGCAATCAGCATGGAGGACACGGTGCACGATGTCTTACGTTCCCACAATCCATCGAGCACTGAGATGCCTCCAACCAAACACTCTCTTAAGGTCCAGGTTGTGGAGGATGCAACTGGTCATTCAGCATCCATAGTGTACCATGATTGTCTGAAGCAGTTGGCCAATTACCTTGTTTTACCAGTCACAAAGTGTAATGCTCACGATATTAACACCAAGTTACAGTGTGGGGCTTGTCAACCTTCTGAAATTAGTGTGACATCCAGGGGCACAGCTGCTATTATTGAATGGGTAAGTATATATTATTCAAAAACATTTGTTACATTGTTACTTGTAGGGGCTGCCGCTTTTTTCCCCTTAGAATATATAGGTAAGACATGTCATGCTTTTACCTAATTATTGTCATCTATATTTGTAGGAGATGCTAGGATGGACAGTCCAGGATTCTGTGCACAGTACTGCACATACACGGCCATGGACAATGAGTCCAAAAAAATGATCAGCATGGTCAACATAGACAAGCGAGAAACACAAGAGGAATTGGGTTGTAATGGAGAAAGAGGCCTTCATTCGTACCTTTGAGACACTCTGTGAGGAGCTCAAGGTTACGGAGTTTTGCACCGATGCCCATGTTCAAATATCTGCCCTCTTCAGTGAGTATTGTATTTTGCTTTGTTTGTGGTTGATACACTAACCCAAAAACAAGCATGGAGTAACATCTGAAAATGTGTCACGTAAAATGTATACATTCTATTTTTTCAATTTATCCAGCAGACAAGGGGAAATATAAAGACAGTGGTGTACAACACACACTCGACATCTGGCATGGAGCTAAAAGCTTGAGTAAAAAAATCCTTGCGGTAGGTCTATATGTATGTTTTATAATAAAACAGTATATGTTTCATAACCTAAATAAAAAATATATAAATTGACAATAGGTACAAGCTATGAAATTTTACACACAGCTTAATTTAATAATGAATTATACAGAGACCAGCCAAGAGAAGAGCTGATGGCTCAATTCAGTATGTTGTATAACGAATTGTTTCAGTGCAATGCATTATCTTTCAATTGCTGATTAACAGGTAGACATTCCATGTCAAATTACTTCTGACTTGTTTTTGCAGATATAGAAAGAATTACAACAAAAAATCCCGAAGGTGGAGGTTAGGGTAAAGTAGAGAAGGACTACAGTTACATAGCAGACCTGCAGAGTGCTATCCTGATGAAGAAGTTATCCAGAACTGAGAAAATGCCATTGAGAAGATCCCTGAGGCCAGGTGATCCACGTCTACTTGGTATTCTGTCTGGTGGCCATGTACCAAGCACCCAGGAGTTGTTGCAGACACAACTCAGCAGAGGGACAGGTTAGTTGATTTAGTTTTTGTTCTGGCCCATGACATGAAGGATTCAATTATTATTGTAATATTGAAATGTTTTACAACTACTCAGCCAGTGGTGATATGCTGTCACCTTCTTTGCTGCAACTAGTCAGGATTTTTTATGTGTATGTATTAACTGATATGTAATTGTGAATATTTCTTTCTGCAGGACAGTCCCTTTAAAACCAGTTGTAGACAGCCCTGGCAACACACGTCAGAACACATGCACAACTTGAGCAGTCATCCAACACTGTATGTGTTACTTTACATCAGGGATGCTAGCCTTCAAGATCAACATGTCTGCAGTGTTAGACTCAAAGTTGGATCCAACTTACATGACTATATATTTTTTTTTACACCATAAAACTATGATTACCTTATTCTTGTGTGTTTGATTGCAATGTGAAAAAAAAGTAGGACAGTGGCTCCAAAGGACCAAATTTGATAACCTCTGGTTTGTAGAAAGTGAGCATATATTTTGCTGTTTATAATGTACTGGGTATATGTAAATTTAAGATGTTTGTTTGGATCATCATTGTTATATTGTATTTTTCATTGTTGTGCATGTACAGAAATTTTTGTCGAATTGTCAAGATAACAAAATATGTCTTTATTAGAAAAAATTACAAGTACCACAGAACAAGTAACAAATTTGTTTGCGAAGAGCACTTGGTAAAAAATAAATAAAGAGAATTTGTACAAATATTTCTATCAAGTGTCTACATTACGTATTGTTACAAATTATTTAGTTTTTTTGAACACACCATCTACATTATCTTTGTGGAACACAACCCTGATACTGTCCATGGGGGTCAGGGAAACGATCACGTATTGTCCACACGCAGCAGCTGGGAATGACCACCCTGTGCCCCTGTCCCAGTGCCCCATATTGCCACACAACAAATTGACGGTAAGCAGCATAACGGAACTGCCTATTGCTCTCCACAGCATCAGGAACAGCTCGGATATCAGTCCAGATACGTCTGGCTAAGCGCAGTACCCCCTCTTGTAAAATATAGGCCCCCATATGGGGGAGTCTGGAGATGCAGTGCTGCTGCTGTTGTTGCCCACAACACTTGCGTTCTAAGTCAGATGGCATCTCTCTGCAGTTAGCGCAGACACACCAACTAGGCTGACCAGAGAGAGAAGGGCCAGCTGGAGGAGCATCTGAAGCTGTGAGATGCATGATGTCAAACATCTGACTGGGGTCCCAGGCAAGACAAATCTCCAGAATCTGACGGCACTGCTGTAAACTCAGTCGTCGAATTCTGGCCTGTGAGGCAAAACATTATTTAAAATTATTTATATAGTTTTTAATAAATACAGCTTAGTTTTATAAGAGAAATTGTGTACAAAGTGCATGACAGGTAAAAAAGCAAAAATAAAAGTTTAACTGTCCACAGATTGAGACATGTTGAAGTTACTGTTGATGTTTCAATAAAGTCTTCATAAACAATGTTATGTAGTTACCTGCTCATCTGCAATTCGTGTAGATTGCAGATCTTGAACACGACGTGCGTCATCTAGTGTGAGTCCTAATGCTGCTTGTATGGTAACGTTACTCCGACCGCGGCCGGCCCGTCCTCTGCAGCCCCTACGTGTGACCCTTCATGTGGCCTGTGTCGGCCTGTACGCTCACGTCGGACAAGGTACTTGTCTCCATAAAAACATCAATGGAGCCAAGCAGACTGTCATCGTGGAAACCCTGACATGCAAGAAACATTATTCCACACAAGTTTTGCTAGATACACAAACGGAAAAATGGTGCATCTAATTCTGTTTTCTAAAAAGTTTTTTTTGAAGTTTGGTATTGTAGTACTGTTACTAACTGTACTATAACGTTTTCTCACCGGTGAATGAGTCATGATCTGTTGTAGTAATGCAGTGTCAGGTACTCTGTGCGCGTTCATGCGTTCAGGGGGCGTGGCTTTGGACGGCGATTTGCAGGGAGGGTGGGACGTTGCTTTCAGTGCTATCAGGCTAAAGTTAGCATTTTCACAGATCTCCTACTGCACCTTTAACTAATTTAGTTGATGTTAAAGGGGATGTCTAAAGCTCTTTCATGGATTCTGACTTACATACCCTGTTAAAGAGTGGGATTCTCATGCTAAACATGGCCAAAGTAAAACACAAAAGAGTTGAATGTATGAGAATTTCTGTGCCACATATACTACTGCCATGTTGGTTATAAAGGGTGAAAATCCTCATATGAACACTTCTCCTGGAAGAGGACACACACACTTCAACCACAGTGAGAGCAAGAGCTTCGTTAGGCAGCGCTGCACATCACTTGCTCCAGAAAAATCTGTCCTTCTGGGTTTGGTTCAAACAACAGTCACCAAAGAAGAGTTTTTTGTTTGTGAGGGAAAGATAACCTTGTTCAGCTTCCCAAAGAACCTGGCGTTATGTGAACAGCGGATGCAGTTTGTTTTCTGGGGCAGCAAGTGTGTTTGTTTGTTTGTTCCTGGCATTTCGGTGACAAATGTTTTATACAAAGGCACTGATATGAATCGCAGTTCTGTGTGAAAAGCTGCTCTGTGTGAGTTCATAGTCTGTGAGCTGAGAGATTTGTACTCAAGCATTACATTGATGTGCTCACACGTTACAATAATACACTCTTGACATTTGTCATTAAAATAACTACTCAAATTAGCTATTAAAATAGGAATAAAGAAATGAATGGAGAATATCTTGTGTTATGATACGCAATAAATATGTGCAGTGTCTTGGCACTCAAATAAAGTAAAGCATTCAAATATTACTGCTTATTCTAAACAAGTGCAAGCAGTTCTTAAAAAGTATTAATGTAAATACAGCTCAGTTGTTTTCAGAAAGAATCAATACAGTTGTATACAGACTCTTCAGCTCTATTCATACTCAAGATTAACATGATATTGTCAGAAACTGTGTGTATGTCCCCTTTAAACTGTAAACTATCAGTGATTTTGAAAGCATTTTGAAAATTACATATATATATATATATATGAATGAAGTGAAGTGACATGTGGCCAAGTATGGTGACCCTTACTCTGAATTAGTGCTCTGCATTTATCCCATCCAAAGTGCACACACACAGTAGTGAACACACACACACACAGTAGTGAACACACACACACAGCAGTGAACACACACCCGCAGCAGTGGGCAGCCATCTATGCTGCGGCGCCCGGTGGAGCAGTTGGGGGTTCGGTGCCTTGCTCAAGGGCCCCTCAGTCGTGGTACTGAAGGTGGGAGAGACATGTACATTCACTCCCCCCAGCTACAATCCCCCTGTAGCGACACCAGTACAATATCTCACGGTTCTCAACCAATCAGACTTGAGAACCAAAACGAACTGTTGTATAATAAGTAATATCACAGAATCATTCTGATTCTGATTCTGATAAAGCTCATTCTGATATCTGTTATCCAAATTTAATAGGAGAAAATTGATATGCCACACCTGTGAGGTGGATGGATTATCTTGGCAAAGGAGAAGTGCTCACTAACACAGATTTAGACAGATTTGTGAACAATATTTGAGAGAAATAGGCCTTTTGTGTACATAGAAAAAGTCTTAGATCTTTGAGTTCATCTCATGACAAATGGGGGCAAAAACAAAAGTGTTGCGTTTATAATTTTGTTCAGTGTGTATATATATAAATATATAAGTGTGTTGGTAATTAAAAAGTTGCTAAGCCCCATGGACTTCCATAGTAGGAAAAAATAAAAATACTATGGGAGTCAATGGGGGCCAGAAACTGTTGGTTAACTATCCCTTTAAGTAGATCATAATGTAGTACAAACCTGCATCTGATTTTAGCTTGAGATGTGCATCTGTTTCCTCTCACCTTCTGCACACTTGAGATTTACCTGAAAATAAATTACACTGATTTGAGAAATAAACAAGTAGCATTTACTAAAGCAAATGTTTTTTGTGCTTTAACGCAGCAAATGCATGAGATCTTTTATCATAAATGAGAATGATGACCGTGATCATAATGAACAGTAAGAGAAGCAAACCACACCAGAGTTAATTAACATGTGTAGGAGAGAAGAAGGTCAAATAGAGATCTGAAAGCACGGAAGCTGATAAAAGACTGCTGGAGAACATTGTTACTGCTTTAACAACAGCAGCACATCAAGAAGAGGAGAAGTAGTAGTAAGAACTCACCTGTCCTGCATCATGCACCCAGAAACACTGAAACCTCTGTTTAAATGTGTTGAATAGCTCTGATAGTGACGGGTAAAGACGTGCAGAGTCTGCTCGGTGCGGATACAGATTACAGTGAAGGACTGTCAGGAACACATGTTATATAATACTCTGAGTCTGCATGTTGATACCGGACTGCTTCAGAGCTCTTGTGTCTCATCCGCTGGATGTAGCTGTTCATTTCCAGCTGTTCTGCTGCATGACACTGTCTTATTCTGCATTGCTCTGGAGTTCTTCAGCAGCTCTCTTACTGCTCCGTTCATCTTTCTTCAGTCTGTCTCTCTCTCTCCTGGTCTTAGGTTTGTTTTCTTTATTCTTCATCTCTCTGTCTCCAGTGTGTCAACTGCAGCATCAGCTCCACTGAAAGATAAATGATGCAGAGCTCTGCTCCTTTCTGCCTCTGCTATGGTTTTCTCTTCGGTCTCCTTTCACGAGAAAAGCTTGTAGACCAGAAGTGAACAACTGTCAATAATCCATCAGCTTTTAACGGAAGTGTTGAAGAATCCAGGCGTATCAACTACAGACACAGGTCTCTTTTTGTTTCTCCTTTCTGAGCTGATATTCTGGACACACAAACTGGAGCTGAGCAACTGTGAAGTGTGGCCGAACAACAACTTTAGATCGATTTCAATCGCATACATATAATCGGATTCGCACTGACGATGTGAACGTAGCTTTCATGCTAGTGTATATATCCCATATCGTGACTTTACCCTTACTCACACGACTCAACATAAGAGCTGGTGGAAGAGCATGGTTTTAAACTTACCTTACAGGAAAATATCGTTTCAGGTCATGTTCGAACAGTTCATCTTTGAACTGTTTCGATGCCAGGCCTAGCATCAGACGCACAAACGTCCAGGAAAACAGTCGTCTAAACCAGAGCTGATATTCTGGACACACAAACTGGAGCTGAGCAACTGTGAAGCGTGGCCGAACAACAACTTTAGATCGATTCCAATCGCATACATATAATCGGATTCGCACTGACGATGTGAACGTAGCTTTCATGCTAGTGTATATATCCCATATCGTGACTTTACCCTTACTCACACGACTCAAAATATGAGCTGGTGGAAGAGCATGGTTTTAAACTTACCTTACAGGAAAATATCGTTTGAGGTCATGTTCGAACAGTTCATCTTTGAACTGTTTCGATGCCAGGCCTAGCATCAGACGCACAAACGTCCAGGAAAACATTCTCCTTCTTCTTCTTCCGATCTGCGAGAGGCAACCAGCTCACAGACGCACTACCGCCCCCTACCTGCTGGAGACCGCGAGAAGAAAACTCCCTGTTAGCCCTGCGGTCTCCAGATATTAATCAAGAGTGCCAGTAACTTCCCCAAGGATTGCCTTCGAACAGGCTTTAACTGTAATATCTAGACGAACTTCCTTTAATTCAGCAAAGGTGCTTCTTCCTTTGGGTCCGCTCGTCGCATATTCTTCCATAACTTTAATAAGCTCTCGGTCAAGAGACACCCAAACTTCTGCTGTACCCTTGCGAGATGTTCAATCCTAACGCTGCTTTCCGGCTCGGTGTTTCACACTGCACTTGCACATGTGCCAAGAGTGCATGTTCGCTTGTTTATTAGTGTTTTTCTCACTCGCAATGATAGCTCACATCCCGGTGTAAACTTGGGTGGATTTGTTTCAAACTTCCAGTGGTGTTTGTCGTCAGGCCTGGAGAAAAGGTGTTGTCTCTGTTAAGACAATAAGTGATCACACATAAAACTTATTTGTGATTACTGCTAATGACATCGGACACTAAATTAAATTATCACACAATTCAAGAAATTCTTTCCTACAAGGACAAATATGACAAAACTGTGCAAGTTCTTTATTTACAGTACAAAAGCTTATTTACAGTACAAAAGCTTATTTACAGGAAATATTGGGATATAACAACCCTCTGAAGTGACACGAGAAACACAACACGTGGACTGGGAACGGCTGCTATAGACTCTATGCAGTACACAGATGAATGGTACATATAAATGATCAATGGTAGTTAGATGGTACACATATACACGTATTACAAAGGGTTCACATACTGTATAGCAGGGGTTTCTAAGCCTACTGAGAGCTACTGTCCTGCAGACTTCGGCTCCAATGCTCCAACACAGAGGTTCCCAACCCGGGTCCTGGAGGCACCCCAACACTGTCTCCTTTCTCTGACGCACCAGTTTCAGGTCTTGGAGTCTCTACTAATGAGCTGATGACCTGAATCAGGTGTGTTTTTTATTTACAGTACAAAAGCTTACAGTACAAAAGCTTATTTACAGGAAATATTGGGATATAACAACCCTCTGAAGTGACACGAGAAACACAACACGTGGACTGGGAACGGCTGCTATAGACTCTATGCAGTACACAGATGAATGGTACATATAAATGATCAATGGTAGTTAGATGGTACACATATACACGTATTACAAAGGGTTCACATACTGTATAGCAGGGGTTTCTAAGCCTACTGAGAGCTACTGTCCTGCAGACTTCGGCTCCAATGCTCCAACACAGAGGTTCCCAACCCGGGTCCTGGAGGCACCCCAACACTGTCTCCTTTCTCTGACGCACCAGTTTCAGGTCTTGGAGTCTCTACTAATGAGCTGATGACCTGAATCAGGTGTGTTTGATCAAGGAGACATGCAAACGTGCAGTGCTGGGGTGCCTCCAGACCAGGGGTGGGAACCACTGCTCCAGCACAGCTGTCTGTAATCATCAAGCGATCCTGAACACCTGAGCTGCTTCAGCTGTGTTTGACTGACTGGGGCTAACATACATATTACCAGAATGTGATTAAGATTTGATTTTGCGAATCTGCTGAAAGATCTTTTGTATTATATTTGGATGAGTACAGGTCTGTTCTTCCTCCTGTCTGGCCTCTCTGAGCTTGGTTTCATAATAACGCTTGTACTCTGTCAGTTTACACTGGTTTAGTCGTTCCAGCTCTTTGATCTTCTCTTCTTTCTCTTGCTCGGACACTGTCAGTGTCTCTATTCTCTCCTGCAGTTTCTTCATCTCTTCAGCAATTCTGGCCTCCAGTTCTCTCTGTATGTCTTGTAGTTTCTTCTCATACAGCTTCTTCAGTTCCTCTGGTCTAGTTTTCAGCATGAGCTCCACGTGCTGGTACGAGTCGCTGGTGTAATGTTCACCTCCACTAGCAGCGACTACGCCATCTACTTTCTGCAGGAACTCCACAACCTGGTTACGATCCTCCATGTCTTTATTGTTGAACACATGATGTCTTCCCCCACAGCGACTCAAGATTTCCTGCAGAGCCTCGTTGGCTTCCATGAATTCTTCAATAGAGCTGGTCAGTTCATCCCCGTGAGTGAAGAGGACGATTGTGTGTTTATCTGCTGCTTCTCCAAATATGGCTCTGATCTTCTCCACCGAGAGTCTCTCTTCCTCAGTGAACACATCCACTTTAATGACCAGGATGATGGCGTGAGGTCCAGGTGCGGTCATGTTTATGCACTTACTGATCTTCTGTGTCAGAAGCTCCTCCTCTGAAATGTCTGTGTCAAACATGCCCGGTGTATCTACTACTGTGATGTCTCTTCCAGCCACACTCTCGGTCTCTTTCGAGCACTCTTTAGTCACAGAAGAAGGGCTTTTGACGACTCTGAAGGCTTTTCTGCCCAGGATGGTGTTTCCGGAGGAGCTTTTACCTGCTCCAGTCATTCCCACCAGCACCAGTCTCACAGACACTGAAGACCAGTGAGAGAAAGAAGACGCGCTCATCAATGAGCCAAAACAGACCGATTGAGAATCAAGTGAGTAGTCCATGTTTATACTCACAGTTCGGGTCATCAATACCAAAGCTGCCCCTTCTTCCTACAAAGAGAAGAAAATTATTTAATTCATTTGTTCTTTATCTTGCTAATTAAAATAATCAAAAGTGTCCGTGAGGCAGCTGACATACTGGCGTCATGATGAAAATGCAATCCTAAGTGTTCTAACTGTTAGTCTAAATGCGTTTAGGACAAAGAGCATGTAAATGATCATTATGCTACCGTTTCTGCTTGAACATGTTACACAAATCAAATCAATTTGTGTTGTACATTTTCATTTCGCAACTTATAAAGCGTTCAAATGTGCATGCAATTTACATATTAAGACTACTGTTGGAAATGGCGAATGTAAATTCTATAATTTAATTTTCATTTTACACCAAACTTTGCACGTGTGGGTAATGGAAAATGTAAATTTAAATACAGAAGTACAATACCATTTTGCATATTGCACTTTAAATAGAACTTCTCTAGCTGTATGCTTGCATAGATTGATTGCCATCATCTGGGAGGAGGTGTCAGGGTACCTGCGGCTCCCCAGCCACATCTGACATGGTGAAATACTACAGTGTGAAACAGCTGTGTTCTGTGTGAGCATCTGTTAAACTGTGCTGTATTTCTGTGATGCACAGCTGTATTTTCAGCATCATTCCTCCAGCCTTCAGTGTCACATGATCTTCAGAAATCAGTATAATATGCTGCTCTGCTGCTCGAGCTGTTTGTTTGCAGAGCTTCACAGCACATGTTGTTGCCATTTCAGCGATACTTCATTTCAAATCTCTGCGATAGCTTTGCAGGGGTCCTCTAACAAGCATTTAAATGAAATTACTGACAACAACACGCTGTTAGAGTAACGATGAAGGAAGGAAAGCCGAATAAAGCAGGCCTTTTCAGACTCGGAGGTAAACCGCACACGTATCTGTGGTTAGTTCAGATGCTTGTCTCGGTCCAGGCTCGTCTGAAACGCTTCTGGAAGGCAGAGAGAGAAAAGCTTATTTACAGTACAAAAGCTTATTTACAGTACAAAAGCTTATTTACAGTACAAAAGCTTATTTACAGTACAAAAGCTTATTTACAGTACAAAAGCTTATTTACAGTACAAAAGCTTATTTACAGTACAAAAGCTTATTTACAGTACAAAAGCTTATTTACAGTACAAAAGCTTATTTACAGTACAAAAGCTTATTTACAGTACAAAAGCTTATTTACAGTACAAAAGCTTATTTACAGGAAATATTGGGATATAACAACCCTCTGAAGTGACACGAGAAACACAACACGTGGACTGGGAACGGCTGCTATAGACTCTATGCAGTACACAGATGAATGGTACATATAAATGATCAATGGTAGTTAGATGGTACACATATACACGTATTACAAAGGGTTCACATACTGTATAGCAGGGGTTTCTAAGCCTACTGAGAGCTACTGTCCTGCAGACTTCGGCTCCAATGCTCCAACACAGAGGTTCCCAACCCGGGTCCTGGAGGCACCCCAACACTGTCTCCTTTCTCTGACGCACCAGTTTCAGGTCTTGGAGTCTCTACTAATGAGCTGATGACCTGAATCAGGTGTGTTTGATCAAGGAGACATGCAAACGTGCAGTGCTGGGGTGCCTCCAGACCAGGGGTGGGAACCACTGCTCCAGCACAGCTGTCTGTAATCATCAAGCGATCCTGAACACCTGAGCTGCTTCAGCTGTGTTTGACTGACTGGGGCTAACATACATATTACCAGAATGTGATT